CACACACTTTTCTTAATTTTAAACCGTTAAGTGTTCCCATGTTCTGTTCGAACAACTGCCTCTTGGTCCATGTACATATTACTCATGAGCACAGTTAAGTGTTCTGGAATATTCATACTTCTCAGTATTGCCCATAGCTTTTCATGATCCACACAATTGAAACCTTTTGCATAGTCAGTAAAACACAAGTAAACATCTTTCTGGTATTCTCTGCTCTCAGCCAACATCCATCTGACATCAGCAATGATATCCTTCATTCCACGTCCTCTTCTGAATCCAGCTTGAGACTCTGGAAATTCTCTGTCAATGTATGCTTGCAGCCGTTTCTGTAAAATGTTTAGTAAAACTTTACTCTCATGGGATATCTAAGATATTGTCCGATGATTTCTACATTCCGTTGGGTCACCTCTTTTTGGAATGGGCACAAATATGGACCTTTTGCAATCAGTTGGCCAGATAGTTGTGTTCCAAAATTCTTGGCATAGATATGTGAGTGCCTCTAGTGCCCCCTCACTTTCTTGAAAGATTTCAATTTGTATTCCATCAGTTGCTGGTGCCTTGTTCTTTGTCAATGCCTTCAATGCACCTTAGATTTCTTCCTTCAATGTCATTGGCTTTTGAGCATATGCTGCCTCTTGAAACGGCTAAACATCAACCATTTCCTTTTGGTACAGTGACTCAGTGTATTCCTTCCATCATTTGTTGATGCTTTCTGCATCATTCAATAATTTTCCCAGAGAATAATAATGAAAGTGAAGGCTTGAATTTTTTCTTCAGTTCCTCTAGCTTGAGAAATGCTGAGTGTGTTCTTCCCTTTTGGTTTTCTGAATCCAGATTTTTGCACATTTCATTGTAATACAGTTTGTCTTCTCGAGTTGACCTTTGAATTTTCTTTTCAGCTCTTTACCTCCTCATTTCTTCCATTTGCTTTAGTATCTCTATACTGGAGAGCAAATTTCAGTGTCTCTTCTGACATCCATCTTTTCCTTTTCTTGTCTTCTTAAATGACATTTTGCTTTCTTCTTGATGATGTTCCTGATGTCATCCCACAACTCTTCTTGTCTTCATTCTTCATTGTTTAATGTATAAAATCTGTTCTTCAGCTGATCTATAAATTCAGGTGGGATATAGTCAAGGTCATATTTTGTCTCTCATGGACTTGTTTTCATTGTCTTCAGCTCCAGTCTGAATTTGCATATGAGCAATGGATAGTCTGTTCCATAATCTTTCCCTGGTAATGTTTTGACTGATGATATAGAGCTTTTTTTTACCATGTCTTTTCACAGATGTAGTCAATTTAATTTCTGTGTATTCCATCTGGTGAGGTCTATGTGTCTATAATCATCTTTTGTGCTGTCTAAAGAAGGTATTTGAAATGAACAGATTATTGGTTTTGCAGAATTCTATCATGTGATCTCCAGCATCATTTCCATCACTAAGGCCATATTTTCCAACTACTTATCCTTCCTCTTTGTTTCCAGCCTTTGCATTCCAATCACCATTAATGATCAATACATCTTGACTGCATGTTTGATCAATTTGAGATTGAAGAAGTTGATACAATTCTTCTATTTCATCCTCACTGGCTTTAGTAGTATTAACTGGTCTTCCCTGTAGGTGCATGTATATTATCCTATCACATACAGCGTTGTACCTCATGACTCCTCTGGATATGTTCTTTTTGATGATGAATGCAACACCATTTGTCTTCAATTTGTGATTCCCGGCTTAGTAAACTATGTGGTTGTAAGATTCAAAATGGCCAATATCAGTCCATTTCAGCTCACTATAATGTCTAAGATATTGAAGTTTATGCATTCCATTTCATTTTTGACAATTTCCAATTTTCCTAGATTCCTACTTCATACATTCCATATTCTGATTATTAATGGATATTTATCTTCATTTTTAGTTGTGCCATGTCAGCAAATGAAGGTCCCTAGGACTTTACTCCCATAGGCTTTACTCCATTTGTATTAATTACCACAGTGAACTCTACTTTGAGGAGGCATAGCTTCCTCAGCCGCACTTTGAGTGCCTTTCCAGCACTATATCTGACCATGTTTCTCTGCTATTCATAAGGTTTTCAGGGACCAAATATTTGAAAGTAGTTCATCTCTCTTTCTTCCTATTCTGTCTTCAGTCTGGAAGCTCATCTGAAACCTGTCCACCATGGATGACCCTTCTGATATTTAAAATACCTGTGGAATAGCTTCCAGAATCACAGTAACTCACAGCCACTACAGTACAACAAACTGACAGATGAGTGGTTGAAAGCATCTTTAAATAATGTGTATTTATAATGCAATTTATAGTCAGAGACTTTAAAACATTTCTTAAAGAATAAAGTTAACAGATCAACTAAGGTTTGACTTGAACATGAAGTTCTTATAATCATCATTTGTTGTTGTTGTTGTTAAGTGCCATCGAGTCGGGTCCGACCCATAGCATCATCATACTGAAATATAAATAACTTGCTGAGTCAAGTTATGAAAGAGGCTTCCTTGTCAAACACGTAAATCACTGTTGTTGTTAAGTGCCATTGAGTCCGCTCCAACTCATAGCAACCAGGTATAGGGTTTCCAAGGAGTGGATTTGAACTGCTGACCTGTGATTCACAATCCAGCGCTGATCTTACAACGCCACACTAGGAGTCCTCCTCGCCAGGACTAGTAACTTAATTTTCTTAAGTTAGAATTTTTTTCCACCTTAGATTTTTCCACCACTGTTCTTTGTCCAAACCACCCCACAGAGTAAATTCTATTTGTATTGTCCTCAAACTTAGTGTTTAACAAAAGAGCATAAGACTAATAAAGGTTTATGACAAAAATAATTTATTCTTAAAATCACCAACTCTAAATTTTTCATGTTTTCTTTCCATTTCTGTATTTCTATCTTAAATGTTTTAAACCAAATTGTCTATTGACTTCAGTTAGCTTTATGGCTTCTTAAAAAGCCTTGTGATGTGTGCTGGTTGATACCCAACCATATCCACCATATAGGACAGAATAGAACTCTCTCATAGGATTTCCAGGGTAAAATCTTTATAGGAGCAAATAGCCCAATCTTTCTTCCCATGGAGCTATTGGTTAGTTGGAACTGCTTTTAGTTAGCAGTTAAGCATGTCACCATTGCACCACTTGCTGTTGTTGTTTTTATATGTTGTCGAGTTGGTTCCGACCCATAGCGACCCTATATAGGGTTTCCAAGGAGCTACTGGTGAGCTTGAACCATCAACCTTACAGTTCAAACCGACTTTGCAGTACAGCACATTAACCCACAGTGCCACACCAGGACTCTTATTGTACACTTGTTGTTGTTAGGTGCCATCGAGTCAGTACTGACTCATAGCGACTCTGCACTGACTCATAGTGACAGAATGAAACACTGCCCAGTCCTGGGCCAACCTCACAATTGTTGCCACGCTTGAGCCCATTGATGCTGCCACTTTGACAATCCATCTCACTGGGGGTCTTCATCTTTTTTTCTAACACTCTACCATACCAAACATGATATCCTTCTCCAGCTACTGGTCCCTCCTGACAATATGTCCAAGGTATGAGAGACGAAGTTTAGCCATCCTGGATTCTAAGGAGCACTCTGGCTGCACTTCTCCCAACACAGATCTGTTGGTTCTTTTGGCATCCCATGGCACTTTCAATATTCTCCTACACCACCATAACTCAAAAGCATTAATTCATCTATGGTCTTCCTTATTCACTGTCCAGCTTTCACATGCATATGAAGTTATTGAAAATACCATGGCTTGAGTCAGGCGCACCTTAGTCCTCAAGTTGACATCTTTGCTCTTCAACACTTTAAAAAGGTCTTGTGCAGCAGATTTTCCTAATGAAAAACATCATTTGACTTCTTGACTGCTGCTTCCATAAGTGTTGATAGTTGATCCAAGAAGAATGAAGTCCTTGACAACTTCAATCTTTTCTCCATTGATAAGAATGTTATTGGTCCAGTGGTGAGGACTTTTTGTTTTCTTTACATTGAGATGCAATCCATACCCAATGCTGTCCTCTTTAATTGCACACTTGTTGTTGTTAAATGCCATTGAGTCGATTCCAACCAATAATGATCCTGTATAGGGTTTCCAAGGAGCACCTGGTGAGATTGAACCACCGACCTTGCAGTTCAAATGATTTTGCAGTCTGATGCATTAGCCCACAGTGCCACACCAGGACCCCTTTAAAAGAACCTTGTTGTTAAATGTTGTTGAGTCCGTTCCAGCCTATAGCAATCCTGTATAGGGCTTCCAGGGAGCAACTGGTAGATTTGAACTGCTGACCTTGTGGTTTGCAGTCCGGTGCCAATCCTACAGTGCCACACCAGGAGCCCATAAGAATCTTGGTGGTGATTGTGTGCATGGAGTCAGTTCTGACTCATAGTGACCTTGTGTAGGGGTTCCAAAATTGTAAATCTTTATGAGATCAGAAAGCCTCATCCTTTTCCTACAGAGTGACTGTTAGTTTGATTTTATGGTTAGCAGTCAGCTCATATCCCACTAGGCTACCAGAGCTCCTTGATCAGAGTCTTAGGTGCATAGTATATTTGAATATTGAATGATAGAAGATGACTAGATGTTGTCAACAACTATTGATGCAAGTTAACTCATCATAGTAATGATAGTAGTGTCTTTCTAAAACACAAGCTCATTTTTAATTTACTTGGGATTCATTTATTAATAATTTAAGTCAAATATACACCTTTCTAAATATATTTTTCATAATATATTGCATTATTTTCCCTCTGAGACTATGTTAATTTGTAATTAAGGTTAGGGAGAAGAATGACATGACTTGGTAGGATTCAATTTTGTAGAACAGATTTTTCATAAGTGGATAAGCTATGTATAAATTGTTTATTCCTTAGTGCTGTTTGATTTGTGAAAGATAAGCTATTGATACCCTGTTCTTCATCACTTCCATGTCCCACATCTAATTTAAAAGACAAACATATTCCTTCTTACATCCCATTCTTCTTTTCAGAGATCATCTTATCTTGACCCAAAACTCTTTGGTCAGTGCTCTTTGAAGGGCAACTTTCACATCCTTGTTCCTCAGTGTATAAATAAATGGGTTGAGGGTAGGTGTGACAATTCCATAGAAGAGAGCCATGATCTTCCCTCTGTCATGGGAATAACTAGAGGGAGGCTGGACATACATACTGATTGCTGTAAAATAGAAGAGGGACACCACCAGCAAATGTGAAACACATGTATTAAATGCTTTCCACCGACTTTCGGCAGAACGAATTTTCATTACTGCCCGAGCAATAAAGATGTAAGTGCCCATGATGAGGGTGAGAGGCACCAGGAGCAGCAAAGCTCCTAGAACATTGAGCTCAGCCTCATTCACACGAGTATCTGTACAGGCTAGCTTCAAAAGGGCAGGAACTTCACAGAAGAAATGATCCATCACCCTCCGTCCACATCTTGGGGCCACCACTGTAAGAGTAGACTGTACAAGAGAGTTAGCAAAACCACTAATCCAGGTCCCAGTGGCCATGTGGATACAACGTTTGTGGTTCATGATGATTGGGTAGTGAAGGGGTTTGCAAATAGCAGCATAACGGTCAAAGGCCATAATGGCTAGAAGTATGCACTCAGTGGAACCCAAGGCCAAGAATATATAGAGTTGTGCAATGCAGCCACCATAGCTAATGGTCTTTTCTGGTCCTCTGAGGTTGACTAGCATTTGTGGAACAGTGCTGGTGGTATAGCAGAGATCCAGAAGGGATAGATTTGATACAAAAAAGTACATGGGACTGTCAAGCTGAGGATCTAGGCGGCAAACTAAAATAATGGAAATATTTCCAAATAGGGCAAAGATGTAAGCCACCAGAAAGATTACAAAGAGTGGTGTTTCAAGCCAGGGCTGGTTAGAGAAGCCCAGTAAGATGAAACCATTCAGTGAGCTCTGATTGTTGATTGGCATTTTGATACTTCAGATTAAATTCCAGTGGAGACTTCTAAATATTCACTGCTATGGGTGGATATCATTGATTAAAAATGAAAGTCATTGAGAATTAGAGACCCAAGATGCTGAAATGAAATTCTCATTTGCCCAGTAGTCTGCATTTATAACCTATATTATTATATCCTAATTATGGGTGAAATTATATTAAATCAACATTGTCAATGTTGTATGGAAATATTGATGAGAAAATAATAAAGAAAACACCATAAAAATTGTTTGAAATTTTTGCTTTTTTCATGGGTGTCTCCCAGTTAGCTGCTCACCCCTTTTGGATTTTGATGTCTTAGTTTCTAAAAAGTTACACTAACACTACCATCAGCCCTAGATGTCATGGTGGCAAATGAGTGTAGATTTAGACAAATTGTGGGTAGACAGAATTTCTTAAATAAAGTCCAACTAGAAATAATATGAAGACATCAGAAAGATCAGCAGCTGAAGATCCTCAGAAGAAGGCAGAGCTAAAGCATCTTGACATCTTCATCTTCTTCACATTGACCCCAGTCAAAAACTTCATGGAATTGGAGTACTTCAGAAAATCTGTGAAAGGATGAAATGCCAGGGCATTTTTTACCCCTTCCATGTCTTACTTCTAACTGTAATTTTCATGAGATTTTTTTTTTTTAAGGGGGGAAAAACCCACAATATATAAATACATATATAAGAAGAAATCAGTCTCAGAACCTTGCTTACCATAAAAATGTTAATTTTTAAATGCCTAGATAAACCTTATGAGGTCTTTAGTGAAATCACTAGAAAGAATTTGAAATATTTGGCTTCCTAAAATTTTGGGGTTTTATATGAATTACGATTGTCTCTTAGAATAATCATTAGCACATATATATTTAAACAATTTCCCTTCACTTTTTCTTATTTATTTTCATTGATTTCTCATTAGTTATACAGTTTCTACCACCTGAGATGCCACTTTCTTACTCTTCCCCAACACAAATTGCACATTTTAAAAATAGTGTAATATCTGAAGATTAGCTCAATGTCTGAATTCCTAAATTTATTTTATTTATTTTTTGGCTCCCATACTATTGTAAGTTTGTTTTATGTGGTTCTCTAGGTTTTTTCTCTTTTTTAAAAAATAATAGCTATATTCTTTCTTCTTTTAAATTCCAGTCATTTCATTTAACTAGCTATATACCTTTGAAGAAGCCATTTAACCTCTTTGTACAGATTAAATAATACAATATAAATTTCATACATATCTCAGCTTTTGCCACATATCAATAATCCAAAACCAACTATTAGTCAATATTATTTATTTCAATTATGAGCTGTATAGGATGGTGGACCTGGGTGATTTTAGTGTGAATACACAGTACAGCGACTCCTGGTGTGGCGCTGCCAGATAATGCGCTTGACTACAAGGTCAGTTTGAACCACAAAGGTGGTAGTTCAAACTCTCCAGCCACTTTTTGGAAACCCTGTACAGGGTCGCTGAGTCAGAACTGACTCAATGACACTTAACAACAACAACACAGTAAAGAGTAATAAATAACACATTTACTACTATGATAATGGGCTAGTAAACATAATGTGAATATTAACAAATCAGCCCAGGAGCCTATGATTTTTTTCTTTTTTGATCGTCCTAGTTAGTCCTTCATTATATTCTTCTCGCACTCCTAATATAGTAGGATTCATGGCCTTAGTTGACTCTGTCTGAGGTTTTTTGTTTTTTGTATTTTTTAATGTTGTTATTGTTATTAAGTGCTGTTCTGACTCATAGCAACCCTGAGTAGGGTTTCTGAGGAGCGGCTGGTGTGCTTGAACCACCATATCACCCTTGCGGTTCAAACCAACCTTGCAGTCCAGCGCATTAACCCGCATTGCCACACCAGTATGGTAGTGTCATTCAAAATACAGAATTAGAGTGTGGGGAAAATGAGCGGCAGTGAGAAGCAGCCCAAGCATTTCAATTATTCATTCCAAAACTGAGCTCATTAACCTCTATCTCATATTTCTAACTTTTGCTCATAAACAAAAATGTTTGTACTCAGAATCAATCATTTGATAACCTGTCATCCAAGTTGTTGAACTGAACTAATTCTTCTTTAACTTATCTAGTCAATCATTAAAATACGTCTATCCAAAACATTAAAGCAAACACATAAAAAATAGTTCAGCTATTAAACTGACCTTACTTGCCATTGCTTTCACAGTTTCAAAATATCCTAGCATGCTTGAAGAAAAGTCTTCCTTTAGTTCAAATTTGATCAGGCACATCGCAGCCGAAAATTTATCAGTTACTCTCCATATTCTAACATAGCAGTTGTTCTTATTAAGTGCTGTCACATAGTGATCGTATGTACAACAAAATGCAACACTGCCCATTCTATGGCATCTTCCCAATCATTGCCATGTTTGAACCCACTGCTGTAGCCACTGTGTCGATCTGTCTTGTTCCTTTTTAATCACTGACCAACTGCTTTACCATGCAGGATGTCCTTCTCTAGGGACTGATCCCTCCTAATAACATGGCCAAAGTATGTGAGAGGCAGACCTATCTTCCTTCCATTAAGGAACATCCTGGCTGTACTTTTTTCAAGACAAATTTGTTTGTTATTCTGAAAATCCATAATATATTCCATATTTCTAGCCAAGATTATAATTCAAATGCATCAGTTCTTTGGTCTTCCTTATTAATTGTCCTGTTTTGCATGTGTATGAGGCTTTTGAAAATATCATGGCTTTGTTCAGGTGAACCTTAACCCTCAAAATGATAACTTTTCTTTTTAATTTTAAAGAGATCTTATGCAGCAAATTTGTCCAATGCATTAACCATTTGATTTCTTGATTGCTACTTCCACAGGCACTGGTTGTGGATCCAAGTAAAATGAAATACTTAACAACTTCAGTATTTTCTCTATCATGTTGTTGCTTATTGATGCAGTTATGAAGATTGTTATTTTCTTTATGTTAAGGTGTAATCTATACCAAAGGAAGCTGTATTCTTTGATCTTCATCAGTAAGTGCTTCAAGTCCTCTGCTTTCAGCAAGCAAGATATTGTCATGTGCATATCCCAAGTTGTTAACAAGTCTTCCTCTAATTCTGATACTATGCTCTTCTTCATATACTCCAGGTTCTCAAATTATTTGTTCAGTATACAATTTTAATAGGCATCCTGGTGTGGAGCTGTAGGATAAATACTGGACTGTTAGCCACAAGGTGGGCAGTTCAAAATCACCAGTTCGTCTTTGGAAAAAAAAAAAAAACTCTATACAAGGTCACTATGAGTTAGAACTGACTCAATCGTACTTAACAACAACAATCAGCTTTAAAATGTATTGAAAAAAATAGAATTGTGACACACAACTTTCCTCATTTTAAGTCATGCAGTATCCCCTTATTCTGTTAAAACGACTCTTGGTCTATGTAAAGGTTTCTGCATGAGCACAATTAAGTATGAGAGAATAAATTTCTGTTCATTAAAGTTATCCATATTTTATTTCTGCTATAGCAGCACCACATAATTAATATGTGGCAATGTGGCAAATTTTTCTTAAAATAATTTCTAATTCAGGTGTGATATCCTCAAGATAGCACTTTAACTCTTGTGGACTTTTAATTTTTTTTTCTCTTGTTTCAACTTGAATTTGCATTTGAACAGTTGATTCCATTCCATTCAGCCCTTGACATTGTTCTGGCTGATGCTATTGACTTTCTCCATCATCTCTTCCCACAGATTAAGTCAATTTAATTCTGGTGAAGTCCACATGTAAAGTTGTTGTTTATGTTGTTGAAAAATATTTGCAATGAATAGGTTGTCTTGCAAAATTCTATCATGCAATTTCTGGCATTGTTCCTTTCAACAAGGCCAATTCTTTTCAACTACTGATCCTTTCTCTTTATTTCCAATATTCACATTCCAATTACCAGTAAGTATCAGCTGCTCCACAGGAGAAAGATAAGGCTTTCTGCTCCCGTAAAGATTTACAGCCTCGCAAACCCTTTACAGGGTTGCTATTGGTCAGAACCGACTCGATGGCACTTAACAACAATAACAATCATGCATTTTGATTGCATGTTAAAGTAATTTTATACTGCAGATGTTGGCAAATCTTCAGTTCCTTTATCTTTGGCATTAATGGTTAGTGTGCAAATTTGCAAAATAGTTATATTAACTTGTCATCTTTGTAGTTGTATGGATATTATCCTATCACTGGAAGTGTTTTGTTTCAGAATAGATCTTGGAATGCTGTTTTTGACAATGTATGCAAAACCATTCCTCTTCAATTTGTCATTTTCAGCATAATAGATCACAAGACTGTATGATTCAAAATGGTTCTTACCAGTCCATTACAGTTTACTATGACTACGATATCTATTTAAATGTCCATTTCATTTTTGGCAACTTGCAATATTCCTAGATTTATACTTCCTACATTTATAATTCCAGTTACTAATAGTTGTTTGCAGCTGTTTTTGTTTTTATTTGCTTTCTTTCTTACTTTCTGAATTGTGGCACATCAGCAAATCATGGTCCTGAAAGCTTTACTACATCCATATCATTAAAGTTGACCCTATTGTGAGGAAGCACCTCTTTCTCAGATATATTTTGAATGCCTTCCAACCTGAGTGGCTCATCTTCTGACACTATATCAATGTTCCTTTTCTATTAAGAAAGTTCTCACTGTATAATTATTTTTAGAAGAAATCTTAGTGTTAGTCTAGAAGCTGTGCTGAAATCTGTCCATCATGAGTAACCCTGTTACTATTTGAAATACCAAAGGCATATCTTCCAGTATCACAACAACATCGAAGCCACCACAGTATATCAAATTGACAGATAAGTAATAGCCATGTTCTAGGTTGTTTTTGTTAAGTGCTGTTGAGTCAGTTCTGACCCATAGTGACCCTGTACAGGGTTTCTGAGGCTGTAAATCTTTATGGGAGCAGAAAGCCTCATCTTTCTCTTGCAGAGTGGCTGATAATTGTGAACTGCTGG